ACGTTTACGTAACTAAACTATAACGTGCAACGAACGTCCGATGACGTCAGGTAGCCGCTTTTAAAATGGCGTCGGATAAACGAAATTTGTTCATTAGACATTTATTATTCGCACGGCGGAGGGTTACTCTTTGGGGGGGTTGGTGACCCCCTCATTCGGAGGGTAAATCTTACCTAATACGGATCTAGATTTCTACCTATTAAACATTCTATAAATACTTTAAATAGTTTAATTTGTTTATTTACCTTCGCTTGTAAACCTCGATTTTAAATGTATCCGCCATTTTTTCAACAAACTTCCCGTGAGTCAATGTGCGACGTTCACTGACTTGTGAGTCACGGGATGATGTAAACGTGCGGCGCAAAGTTAATCACGGCATACAATAAGGCAAGGCTAGGCATATAATAATTATTTATACCATTCCGTGGTATAAATAATGAATTCCTATTACAAATAAAAATAATTTATTGTTTTTTTAAAATCATCGCTAGGGCGCCTCTAGTGTCCGTTTTTGGCATACCGTTACTAGGACAGACACGCGTTCACTGGGTTAAATACAGCAGAAGCGTGCCGTGACATTTGATGATAGGGAAGCTATGTTTCTACAAGAAGCCGACATCCAGGGGCAATCAGTTAATTCTTTCTTTAAATGTATTTTTAATAGATTATTTATCTGACGTACTTAATAAACAAGTTCATTATAATTACCACTGTTATTAGATCCAATATATTCCATATGTCCTCTAAATGCCAATTCTCGCTTTGATAAAAACATATAACATCTATTTATTTAGATATAATATATCTATTACCCATAATTATCTCGTTACAATTTTCAATATTTATTTTATATTATTTACTAATGTTAAATTCTATTCCGCTTCGATTTCCAAATTGCTTCAAATACGAAAGAATCGACGATTTTTCGTGTCTTTTGCCAGCTAAATTGTCAAAGACATTCTTATTCCACACACTAATTTCACTCTGTAAATGCATTTTTATGCATTTACAGAGCCATTTTATCGTGAAAATATCGAACAAATTTTTTTATTTAAGCGTTTATATTTAACTTAGGCATTGGCCGTTCTCTTTTAATAATGTTTTCTTTTTCATTATATGATCTCGAGCCAAAACTTTTTTAAAATAAATTTTCAATATCGCAATTACATTCCGAATCGCTAGCCACGATATAAGGGCTAAAATTAAAAATAAAATTATAAAAACTTACTTGGTGAAATAAAATGTGTGGTGGATATACATACCTGGTACAAAACATTCTTCAATTGTATGAATATACTTTTAAAGAAAATTATAATTAAATATAACTTTGTAATGAAACGTACATGAAAATAACATAAAATATTCTTTACTCTTTAAATCTTAACCACTTAGTCAAATAGCTCCCTACGAGTGGAATCAGAGACGGTCCTGCTAGGTGTGCGGTGTGTACTGTACATGCACGCGGGCTGCCAAATCCCGAGGGTGCCGATACCCTCGGGATTTGGCAATGTCAAATGTTTCTTTTGTCGCATCACTAATATACCTCAAAAGACGCGACAGGGTTCTTGTAAATTTTAAACGTTTCTCACCATAGCTGTAAAAGTCTAAATATGTTAAACTTAATAGATTGTCCGTCGTTTGTTTTCTAACTAATTCGTTTTAGGACCAGGTGTTGTCCACGGAAATTTCCAAAATTTACAACTTTTCGGTCACTCTCGTCGAACTGGAAAAATTTCTGTCTTTATTACATCTAATACAGTATTTCGAAGAAATCAGTCCCCACTGTACTCGGCTATAGATTGGTTCGGTTAAGCTTTTGTTTAAGTAATATTCCGGCTCTTTCGTCAGGGTTTTGTTTATGTCCCCAATTCCCTAATCGCTTAATTATTTAACTACTTCTTAAGTAGAAATAAGTCGAAACCGGTTACTTTGTACTCGAATATTTGTAGTCTCGGGAAAAAAGTGGAAAGACAAATTTTTATGACAAACGGATACATAAATCGTAAATTTAAGGAAAATAAATTCTAGAGCTTTTTCTGTACCTCGTGCATCTCTCTCATTCATTAAATTTAGTTGTAAATGATGCTGCCAAAGTAACAGTTAATTTTTTAACATTGTACAAGAATTGTACACGTTTTTTTCTACATCCCCTTAAAGATGGGATATACGAAATCGTAATATCACTGGTTTAACATTGAAATCCGTGAGTAATATAAAATCGGAGAGCGGAATAAATATATCAAATATTTTAATGGATTTTTTAAACTCCTGTCAACTATACAGAACTATCGTAAAAACATACCAGTAAATTCTTATCGGTTGGGTTAAGTTATAAATCTACTCGTTATTCACGTAATCGAAATATCTAGTGGGCAGGCGGCTAACAGCCCAGAACCGGTCCTTGATAGAATTGGAATCTTTATATGTGTGCAGCTTTCACCCAAGGTCGTAGGCTTCCACCGGCTAAACCGGGTGAGGTTGGTGCTCTGTAAAGCGCATGCGCAAATCTGGCTTTTCGTAATCTGAAAATACAGGAGATTCCACTCCGCCACTAATATTCTAATATACAATAGCAATTTTTTTTCCACGTGTAGTATAGAAATTTGTAATAAGATACATAATGCGGTTATAATAAAATATTGTGCGATTATTTTCATATAATTAAAATTAATATTTATTTATTTTTTAGAGAATACGAGGGAAGCGGCGCTTCCAACGCTTCTAATGACGGCACGCCACTGAAATACAGTAGATAGATTACATCCGTTCATATATTATCAAATCGATATAAGTAATATTTTTACCGATGCTCAAATATTTTGAATTTATCATGTCAGATACTTTACAACCAGAACATAATGACGTGCGGCGGTCGGCAACACTGCGCCTGCCACCGTCCCCAACCCGCGTGACGTCAGAGATCGAGGTTGACACTTTTTGGATCGACGTGTTCAGGTTCGGACGTTCATCTCGTGCAGTCCGACCCTTGTCTACATGATCGGCGTTGTTCTAACCATCTGTACATAGAGTTGTAATTATCGGCAAATAAACTAGTGAAAACGACATTCGGATCCTTCCTTCAATCCTAGAATATCTAACTCGCTTTCACGACAATCCCGTTCGTGGATGAGATCGGATCGAGCGATCTAACTGATTTCGACTATTTAGAGGAACCATTAACGGTCCCCTCAGACGCAAGTCAGAAACATTCCACCAAATAAAATAAATTTAAATTGATAAGTACGTTTTTCGATCAATCTCATCACCGTATTCGACATACCGAGAATATTCGCAATGTGCAAGATCTTCTTATGTTATAATACAGATTTCTAGTGAAATTGCTTGTACAGAGATACACTGTATTTTTTTTTGTTCCAATGAACTTGTAATTTATATTTTGATATTTTCTATAATTTGTTTTATTTATTTTCTCTTTATTATATTAAACATTTATATATCATTGTTTTTTCTTTTATGATTTTTTACACATTGTATCTTGATCTGTATTTAAAATAACCTACATTTACAAACAACTAATTATCATTCAGTTTTTTTCCAGAAAGACTTCCTCTATCTCAAGTGGGGTTGAACTTAAGAAGTCATATTTCCCTATCCCTTCGACTATTAACCACCAAAAATTTAATAACATCAATGGTTCTAATACACAAATCTCCCCGCAAAAAATAGGAGTTAATTAAACTGAGTTTGGCAGAGAAATTTTCTTACAATAGTTATTCCTGAGCACAATCTGTCTGTACATCAACCAGGGAGCATAACACATTCCTATCCTGCCAAAATTTCCAACTTGGTTGAGTTTTCTACAGTAAGGATGAATTAGCGGATGATGTTTTCTTACTTGCTATCATTTTAATGTATTTGTAAAAGTAAAATTTGGAGATTTGATGTATAAAATAAGAATCTTCCTTAAGAAATTATTTTCTTATGGAAAAACAATTTGAAATATATCTCCCATCTTATATATGTTGCTCAGAAAAGACAAAAAAAAAAAAAAAAAAAAAATTAATGAGAAAGAACATCCATATGTGTACGCAATACCATACAAGTACGACCAATTGGGAATAGACAAAGAATATATAGAAGTCACAAATAGAAATCTTAACGTAAAGGTGAAAGAGCATAAATACGACGTAGTAAAAAGCCGATATACAACAGCGTTATCAAAAAATAGCGCAGACTGGTGAATCCATAGTTAAATGGAAAGAGGCCACAATCATTGCAAATGGGCACTCGCCAACGCTTGCATCCACAACACAGACGAGTGAGATCTACAGATCTAGCTTAACAGAAAAATGTTTAAACCATAAGTATGCGACCATTTCCTGTCGGCATGAAAATATATAATCAGAAAGAACTCGTAAGATGATACATCTACCAGGCTCAATAAAAACCTGAGTTACTATAAAAAAATTTTTACATGTTGTATTGTGGAAAATTACCGTATTTTGTATTTTATTTTTCTTAATTACGTTTTAAATTTGAAGGTGTTATACGAAAAGCCATTAATTCGAACTACTTTAACATGATGATGACCCATGGAATGGGTTGAAAACGTTTGTTTAGCTCAATAAATGTGCTTTCTCAGTATTAAAGTGTGTTCAATTTATAGATTTTAACACGATCGAATAATTAATTAAAAATAAACTATATAACTTTATATTAAGACCATGAGCAGATTTTTATAAATACAAAGTCCATTGTAATTATAAACACTTCATATTGGCAGTATTTAACAGTAAAATAAGATGAAGAGACATTTATCGAACGATAAAGGGAGACGATTCCAATCCGAAGAATAAATCCAATATTTCTGGAAAACGGTCTGTCCCGCATGTGAAGAATGGAGTCTCCCATTACTTTGTCCAATTGCGGGTCTGGCCGTATCCACAATGAACTTCATAAAAAGGCCTTCTTAAAGTATATAAGAAAAATATAAAATTTATTAATATGGCGTCATTAGAATGAATTTTTCAACAATACTTTCGAGTTCAATTGTCGAGTTTCTATTGTCAAGTGGAATGTTTCGCTGCGCCAGAAAAGTTGTTTCGCGAATTTCGAGAAATAAAATGAAGAAGAAAAGGTAAATTTAATCAGAAATTGTGTTTATTTATTCTTTATATTATGTAAGAATTAATATAGTTTCTCTGTAGTAGGAGAGAAGATTCTGAACCGAGTGTTCAGGAGAATAAAGATTGCTCATTTCAGGTAAACCATTGATTTCTCTGTAACAATATCGAAATTTTTCTTTGAGTAGATTAACATAACGAAAATTTTTTGATTAATTTTAAAACGATAACGTTTGCAAACATCGATAATTTTTACCTTGATATTTCGTAGAATGGCAAAGATTCGCCTGCAACAAAATGTGACTCCTCGAATCTAGACGAGTCGCAGTTGCAAGCAAATAAACAGAAGAAAGGAAAGTTTATGGGATTTTTAACTAATTTATTCCATAAATTTTTGTTATGTTGTTGCATTTCAGGCGAGATCTCTAATACCGAGGTAAGTATTCGTTCCTTCTGTTTTCCTTCCATTAGCAAATTTTCTAAATAAATAATCATTTCTATAATTTTGTAGCCTTACGAATTGGAAAAAAAACTCGCAGATTCAAAGAAGGAACACGACCGTTTCGATAAAGCCAAATATTATATTGACAAGTACAAAATTACTAAAGAAATTGGTCGTGGAAGTTTTGGGACTATTTATTTGGCTAAGACCAAATATTCTAGAAAGAAAAAGGCTTTAAAAATCGTAAAGAAGAAAGTCCCTTCTTCTAATCAGGTATTTTTTAACAAAAATTACCAATATTAAGGGGATTAAGAACAATTTCCGGAATATACACAAAATTCACTAAATATATATATATATATTAAAAGAATAATAATTTTCTTAATAGTATAAGAGTAATCAGTGTTTTATGAATTTACATTAGTAATATTTAAACAATATTTAAAATTTATATTTCGTGTGTAATCATCATTAATTTATTCATAGTTTGGTGAAATCCGGAGAGAAACAATCGTTTGGAATTGCGTGTCCGCCCATCCAAACATTGTCAGATTGATTCGATTCCTGCAAACTGACACAGCGTAAGTTTTTTTCTCTTTTCACCTGAGTTATTTATAATAATTTGTGCTCTGTGAAGTAATAAGTTTTATTTTTTAGCTTTTGCTTTGTCTCGGATTTTGTTGAGGGAGAAACTTTGACCGAATTTATACAAAAGAATGGCCCTATAGCGGAGAGAAAAGCTAAAGTGTTTGCCGCTCAAGTGGCCTCTGCTATTATGTATATTCATAGGAATGGTAATTATTTGCTGTAGATTTATTTGCTTGTTTAGTCCAGAAATGTGTAAAGAGTGGCAAAGTAATGTTTTTATTTTGAATAGGAATAATACACCGAGACATTAGTTCAAACAACGTTATGTTAGATGTGTACAAAGGTGCACAAGTAATTGATTTCGGTCTATCCACAGTAAGCATTATACATTGTAATATTCTTGAACTGTAGATTTTTAACGATCTCTTAAGTATTTTATTATTACTTTTTTCAGTACGAACGAAATCCAAGAGATTTTTGTGGAACTTTAGCATTTATGTGTCCGGAAATTCTCCAGAGGAAGCCTTACGGTAAGGACTTGTACTTTCACATTTGTACTTTCACATCATTATACTCTTACATTTGTATCATATTGTTGGATGTATTAATGAATGTATTGTTTGTAGATTTATACTGTGACTGGTGGGCTTTCGCCATCGTGTTATTTCAAGCGTTGGTTGGAAGAACTCCTCTGGAGATTTATGTGAAAGAAGCTTTCGATATTAATAACGTGTATTTATTGCCACGTTACGACCGGATAAGAGGTAATGTATCAAAATTATTAATTGAATAATAATAATAATAATAGCAATATAAGATAATTAATATTAAAATGCGTTTGCAGCTGCTCTAAATGTGAAGGTGTCGTATCCTTCTGGATTATCGGATGATGCCAGACATTTTATTTATGATCTATTGCAAAAGGTAAGATTATACTTAATTGTACTTAACAAATTCAGATTTATCTCTCCCCGTTTTATGCACGAAATGACATTTATTTACAAACCGAAGCATGTAATTCTCTTATGTATCCGTATGTATCTACATTCGACTTTTCTCTGTTGCCAAAAACAATGAATATATACGGCAAATTTTGTGTTTTTTCTTGTATGAAAGCATTCATTCAATTAATATCGTTAATTGTAATCATATGGTCTTTCTGTGGACTTTCATAAATCTGTTTATAATTAATTCACTGATTATATTCAATAAAATGTTGAAAACTCGTTTCATATCATTAAGTAAATTTTTAATAACGTGCTGCTAATTAGTTTAATAACATTTATCTTATCCGAAATAGAACACAGACGAAAATATAACCATTCGAATAGTGAATTTGAATTAATTACTTTTGTTTTCGATCATTTCAGGATCCGTACAGACGTCCTCTAGAAGTAAATATAAGGGAACACGAGTATTTTCATAAAGTGCCTTGGCCCAAAATTGTATGTTTTGTTTTCCAATTATCGCATTTGAATGTCACTTTACGAAATAAAACAACTGATTTGCTTTTGTATTTTCAGACTTAGGGTTTTCGGCAGAATAAACTGAAAACGAAGTTCGGATCTTTCTTGAAATCAATGTGGAAGCCGGTTAAGAGGTATGTATTTCTATGTACAGAACAGTACATTCAATCAAAGTTTGATTTAGCTCCGTCACTTTTTCGCCTCTCAAATTAGCAGTAATTCGAGTGTGGCGGTAAACCAAAATTCCGCAAACATCAATATATAGTATTAAAATCTACACATAAATTTGAGTTCAGAACCTATGTGATTTGACGAGAATCACATAATTTTCCCGTATTCTTTTGCGCTTTTTAAAATGCGTTATGTCGAGATTTGACGATTTAGTCTTCATGCAAACAAGTATCATATGCAATTCAATAAAAATATAAGTTAAAACTGAAAAACTAAACATTTTTCAACGGTAAACTGAATACAAATTTGTTAACTTTTTGATGTCGATCAATAGACATAAGCTGGAACCTCGATATAGCGCCATCGATATCTTTTGATTTAATTCGCATTCAGTTAAACGTTTTCAATGAGTAATATCACTTGTAACGTTATTATTTTTCTTTATTCAGAACCGTGTGTAAGTGGAGAGGAGGTGAGGTATCCGAGTATGCTCGGTTGGAGTAAGATCTCTTTGCCAATATCTGAAGAGATCTATTTCTAATTTGATCCGAGTTCGTCTTGGGTAAGTGTTTATAAAATAATGTTTTTGTATTTTACATTAAACATTCAGGAATGAACACTCTTACTTTATAAGTACTGTATATCACAGTCGATGGCCCAGTTGTACAAACAACACATAATTAAATGACTACATGAACAAGACAAAACGTAGAAGCAGATTAATGCTATTGCGATATTATATACGTAACTAGGCTTTTAGGGTCTCGAGCATTACGCATGTATTATTGTCGATACTCTGTATTGGTCCAAATCTGGAATCCAGTATTGTACTTGGAAAGATCTTAGATCTTACAAGAAATCGTATCGTACGGCTTTACATTGTATACATTTATATAAATAGGCCTTATATTTCAATATCTAGCTAAGGCCTCAAATATCCTGAAATCGCTAGTGATTGATGATATACTTACCTAACAAGTGTCCTGTAAAGAAGAGACCTGGAAAGTTATTTGTCTTTCCTAAAATATTCATTTTTTTTTATTAGAAAAATAATTTTAGAAATCGGTGAGGTCTGTAAGAGTAAATTTATTTTAATTGCCGATGCATCGAAACACAGCAACCAATATTATCGTGCGACAAGATAGACCCTATGTTTCTCTTTTAATACTATAAGAAACTACACTATTTGCTTGTGTTTTACGCGTTTATTACGAAGATAGAAGAGATTAACATAAGTAGAAGAAACCTATTTAAGAAGCATAATTTTATTTAATCGGTTTGTTACTTTATACTTTCTGCTCTCTATGAGACAAAATCCTGGGAATGTACTTGTCTCGTAACACCGCAAAATATTACAAATGGATGTTAAGATAAGATTATTCAGTAACTTTGTTTAGTGACTTAAATGTTATTACAGGAAGGTTGTAAAACGTTGACATTCACAATAACTTATATTTGGTACNAACACTGCAAAATAACAAAAATGGATGTAAAGATAAGATTTTCAGTTACTTTGTTTAGTGACTTAAATGTTATTACAGGAAGGTTGTAAAACGTTGACATTCACAATAACTTATATTTGGTACGTAATAAATCACACAAGGCAGCAATGTATTTTCAGTTTCTTAATAACAAATAAAATTATTATTTTATGAATGATTGAAATTTCTAGATGAAAGTCTTAATAATTTTCATTTTACTTTTACAGATCTTTGAAGAAATTCAGGGATTCGTTTCCCTTGTATATAGTTTTTTATTTTTTTCTTTATGTATTTGTGTTGTTTGTTATCGTTATCGTTGTCTTTTATTCTTTGAGCAGTTGAGAAATTAAAAATAAAAATAGAAAATGAATTAAAATTTAAAAATTTCACGACAGATTACGTCTTTTGTTTAATTCTTCTCACCGAAATTGACCTTTACCGACTTTGACTCTTTAAAATTTGACTTTTATCGATTTTGACTGCTCAGAATTTCACCTTTAATCGATTTTGACTGCCCAGAATTTGACCTTTACCTATTTAGACTTTCCAAAATTTGACTTTTTATCGATTTTGATTACGTAATTTTAAATATTCTCGAACTTGTCTACCGAATTGTGTCTATCCACTAAATTTGATTCCCGAATTGTTTCCATTCTCGATTTTGACGAATTTTGGTTGTGTCCATTACTTATTACGTCACTCATTTCGTGTCCATTCCTAATCAACTTCTTCCGATCTATGTCACTTGCGAACGGAAATTTGCTTCGAATTACGTCAAAATGAAAACATCGACGACTTAATCTTCGGTATCTTCAATTCTGGAACTTTATCTAAATCCATTAAACGCTTAATAAACTCAAGAAACGTTAATACTGTAGAGAAAAAACGGATGGAAGGAATATACTGCGTCTACCGAAATTGTCAAGACAAAGTTTTTTGAATGAAATATATTCCAAAAATGTACGTACTATTTTTTATCATAAAGATATAAATTTGAATAAACGTTGCTAAGTATTGTTTGTCGTTTTAGATTAGAGATAATGGATTTTTATGTTTCAAAACATGTGGAACTACGAAGAAATTGATTTACAAAAAATTTCTTTAAAAATAAACATACAACAGTTGAAAAAGAAGAACAATTTCAATTAATTCAAAAACCTTTCAAGGAGATATTTTCTCGACTTGGCTTTAAGAATTTAAGAACGTAGATCTAATGGAATTTTGTCATGTAATGTGAATGTGAGAAGAATCTTTCTGTTTGTAAACATCTTGTTGTCTAATAAATGCTTTTGTTTGATTTTTCGTGAGTTGATTTTAAAATCACAAAAAAGTGATAATGTTTTTGCTGTTTTCAAAATTCAAAATCACCACTTTAATTACGATTCAAATCTGTACAATACGTTATTTTGTCGAATAATCCGGGCGATGGAAATTTTAAATTGTGCGAGATTCTAGAGAAATGTCAGTTCTAAAAGTTCTAGACGGCGTGATATTCCTGGCCTTAGGTATAACTTAATTCTTGTCTAAACTTGCCTGAGTGGTAGGATGGAAGAATTCTGTCTCGGTAGGATTTCGTGTGGTACGTTTTCCGATGACATCTCATTTCTTGAATATCCGGGAGTTCCATTACTATTGTACACGTAATTAAAGTTAAGAAAGTCTACGAAAATTACAGTACATCATTGTATACAACAAGAAGAGGGGAAGAAAAAAAGCTCGAAAATTGTGCACGTGATGGCTGCACTTATTAAAAGTTTCAGCTGTTTTTGATAAATGGTGGTTTTTGTTTTAATTATTTTATAGTACTTATGTGACCGCAGGGTCAGCTCCTCTATAGTGTATGGTCAGGATGACACAACTGTGTCTTGCGGACAGACACGGAAACCGGATTGGCCGTTTATCTCGTTATTTCGAAAGGCCGCGTGTGCGGACTGTCGGATACGGAATGGAGGCAGAAGGAGAGAACCACAGTAAATACATTTTACACGTTATCATATAATAAAATTAACCGTTTATTAATCGATATTAACTATTTACAACTGATAATTATAGAGGCTTAGCTAATGCTAATAATAAGATGACATAAGGCATAAATCCACTACGTCCCTGACAACGAGAGAAAAAGAGTTCACATTAAGTTCGCGCGAAAATAAATACCTGTAGAATTCACAAAATGATGGTAGAAGTTTTCACACTAGGGAATCTTGAAGTAGCAACGAGTTTTTCGAAGTTGCGACGATCAAAAAGAGTTAGGGCGGCGACGAATAGCAAGCGGCGGCCAACACACGCACAGTACAAAGATAACTCGAAGATTCTGTCCGACTCATCGACTCCTCCTTTTTATTAGGGGGTTTACATTGGATTTTTCCCGTGGTCTTATTAGGAATTTTTTCTGTCACCGTCCAATAGTTTACTTTTTTTTTTTTTTTTTTTTTGTAGATTTTATAGCTTGATACCTCTCTTAAGTNTTTTTTAATTTTTTTTTTTTTTTTTTTTTTTGCTATAGAGTCCGAGTGACAAACTAGAAAGCTGTGTCATCGAAAGATGTGATCGTATCCCTTCAGTTTTTTATCAAGTGAAAAGAAGTTCATTTTTTTATATTATTATTCGTTATTTCGCTTTATTTGAAAGCAAACATAAAAAGTTTATAAAAAGGAAAGTTGGTAAATGTTTATCAGATCCGGACTCTTACACTTATATATTCTTGTATCCTTCGAAGCATGGCCAAATTTCACGTAATCAACATTATTTAGCTTGCTAGATTATTTCCATTTGCCTAACTAACTATAGTATGTTGTTGTGTCTAAATGTGCACTTTGGAAAAGACATGACGGCAGTTGTTCGTATGACCACTTTCATCATGAGCACTCTACGAGCTAACGACTTGCACTACTTCTCCAGAGCTTTCTTTTCGTTTGATCTACCGTCATCACAATTACACAAAAATTGAATATAAACTGTATTAATTTCGGCAATGATTTGAAGTTCAAAGGGTACAAACAACTGATTCTATATTTCAAAATATCAAAAAAACATACAAACACATCTGCCGATACCCGGGATCGAACCAGGGACCTTTAGATTTTCAGTCTAACGCTCGCCCAACTGAGCTATTTTATTTATTCATTTGTTCATCGAGGGCTTCTCACCGCTGTCTTAATTTTTGTTTTCAATCAAGCATTCTTTATTAATGATTATTATTTCCGACTAAATTCACAGTCTACGAACAGTAAAATACTGAAGCCGTTTTGTGAAAAATCGTATTTCCAAATATGTAGCATATTACTTTTAAAAACCCCTAAGTATGACAGAAAATTCATCTAAAAACACGTGTAAATGTTTATTGGTTTCGAAAAATGTGAAAGCAACTAAAATAGTAGCAGTGAAATTTCGATTTCATTCTATAGCTTTTCTATATAATTCCTTATGAAAACGAACAGTTATGAGTCAAGAAATCATATATGGAAGTCCCAAACAGAAATCTGGAAGTACGCCTTAAAGAACATAAATACATCATGAAAAAATAACAGTGTTTTATAATGTCGTTCACCAAGACCAAGGTAGAAAGCTCAATTGTAAAATGGGAGGCGACGGCTTCATAAAACTAGTGCATTTACCATCATTACCGATGTGCACGAAAAACCTGACGTTATCTTATTTAAATTAAAAATTTTTCCGAAAAGTATTGTATAGATGACCGGCATGTTAAAGGAAGCTATTGTTAAAGGAAAAGTATGATGTACAGAGCAAGCCACTACTAATTTGAGGTAGAAAACATATATCCTTTGTTTTCCAGCTGAAATTAATGCATCTCAATATTAACTCTACCTGAAAAAATTGCAGCACATTAAAAAATTAATAAACAAATGCTCGTAACTTATTAATTTTAATCATCGTTCATTCTTAATTGTTACACATATGCAATGCACACTGTGCCCCCAATATAGTATAATTTATTACAAGAGTGGATTGAAGTTGTAAATTTGTGAATTATAGTTTTAAATAATAATATTGATATTGCGGCTGCACAAAA